TGCGGTGCGAATGCATGTGTGCGTGTGTATGTGTGTGCGTGTGTGTATGTGTGCGTGTCACCTCGAGCAGCAGCGGCAGCTGTCCCCAGCGCACGGCGGCGAGCGCCAGCAGGTCGACGAGCGCGACCGCGTTGCGGTGCGAATGCATGTGTGCGTGTGTATGTGTGTGCGTGTGTGTATGTGTGCGTGTCACCTCGAGCAGCAGCGGCAGCTGTCCCCAGCGCACGGCGGCGAGCGCCAGCAGGTCGACGAGCGCGACCGCGTTGCGGTGCGAATGCATGTGTGCGTGTGTATGTGTGTGCGTGTGTGTATGTGTGCGTGTCACCTCGAGCAGCAGCGGCAGCTGTCCCCAGCGCACGGCGGCGAGCGCCAGCAGGTCGACGAGCGCGACCGCGTTGCGGTGCGAATGCATGTGTGCGTGTGTATGTGTGTGCGTGTGTGTATGTGTGCGTGTCACCTCGAGCAGCAGCGGCAGCTGTCCCCAGCGCACGGCGGCGAGCGCCAGCAGGTCGACGAGCGCGACCGCGTTGCGGTGCGAATGCATGTGTGCGTGTGTATGTGTGTGCGTGTGTGTATGTGTGCGTGTCACCTCGAGCAGCAGCGGCAGCTGTCCCCAGCGCACGGCGGCGAGCGCCAGCAGGTCGACGAGCGCGACCGCGTTGCGGTGCGAATGCATGTGTGCGTGTGTATGTGTGTGCGTGTGTGTATGTGTGCGTGTCACCTCGAGCAGCAGCGGCAGCTGTCCCCAGCGCACGGCGGCGAGCGCCAGCAGGTCGACGAGCGCGACCGCGTTGCGGTGCGAATGCATGTGTGCGTGTGTATGTGTGTGCGTGTGTGTATGTGTGCGTGTCACCTCGAGCAGCAGCGGCAGCTGTCCCCAGCGCACGGCGGCGAGCGCCAGCAGGTCGACGAGCGCGACCGCGTTGCGGTGCGAATGCATGTGTGCGTGTGTATGTGTGTGCGTGTGTGTATGTGTGCGTGTCACCTCGAGCAGCAGCGGCAGCTGTCCCCAGCGCACGGCGGCGAGCGCCAGCAGGTCGACGAGCGCGACCGCGTTGCGGTGCGAATGCATGTGTGCGTGTGTATGTGTGTGCGTGTGTGTATGTGTGCGTGTCACCTCGAGCAGCAGCGGCAGCTGTCCCCAGCGCACGGCGGCGAGCGCCAGCAGGTCGACGAGCGCGACCGCGTTGCGGTGCGAATGCATGTGTGCGTGTGTATGTGTGTGCGTGTGTGTATGTGTGCGTGTCACCTCGAGCAGCAGCGGCAGCTGTCCCCAGCGCACGGCGGCGAGCGCCAGCAGGTCGACGAGCGCGACCGCGTTGCGGTGCGAATGCATGTGTGCGTGTGTATGTGTGTGCGTGTGTGTATGTGTGCGTGTCACCTCGAGCAGCAGCGGCAGCTGTCCCCAGCGCACGGCGGCGAGCGCCAGCAGGTCGACGAGCGCGACCGCGTTGCGGTGCGAATGCATGTGTGCGTGTGTATGTGTGTGCGTGTGTGTATGTGTGCGTGTCACCTCGAGCAGCAGCGGCAGCTGTCCCCAGCGCACGGCGGCGAGCGCCAGCAGGTCGACGAGCGCGACCGCGTTGCGGTGCGAATGCATGTGTGCGTGTGTATGTGTGTGCGTGTGTGTATGTGTGCGTGTCACCTCGAGCAGCAGCGGCAGCTGTCCCCAGCGCACGGCGGCGAGCGCCAGCAGGTCGACGAGCGCGACCGCGTTGCGGTGCGAATGCATGTGTGCGTGTGTATGTGTGTGCGTGTGTGTATGTGTGCGTGTCACCTCGAGCAGCAGCGGCAGCTGTCCCCAGCGCACGGCGGCGAGCGCCAGCAGGTCGACGAGCGCGACCGCGTTGCGGTGCGAATGCATGTGTGCGTGTGTATGTGTGTGCGTGTGTGTATGTGTGCGTGTCACCTCGAGCAGCAGCGGCAGCTGTCCCCAGCGCACGGCGGCGAGCGCCAGCAGGTCGACGAGCGCGACCGCGTTGCGCAGCGAGTGCGCGCGCGCCGCCTCGAACTCCGCGCTCTGCGACAGCACCGCGTCGCGCACCGCCATCGCCTCGCCCACCAGCAGCACCAGCATTACCTCCTCGTACTCGTTGCGCGGCACGAACTGCCAACCACCACCGTCGCTTTGGAATAACAACTCAACGGTGCAGTTACCGGACCGAAATACTTTACACTGCGTCATTTGTTACCGTCCCTTAGAACCCATAAATGTCCAATGCTGAACATACGCCCCATAAAACGTTTCGTTGAGTTTCTTGTTGGTTCTACCCAAGACAGAGTTTTTTTCTGAACCGGTGATAAAGCTTATATGACTTTCAATAAATATTCTTGTACCGTGTAGTGGCGGTGAAAGAATATCCATTACGCCATTTGTCTCCATTCATGTCGTAAGAGACGACAAAGCAAAAACAGAATAGAGATGAGAACAGAGATGGAGAGCAGAATATGTCAGATGACAGCAAAATAACAATAAATAACTGCGGTCTCCAACCCGCTCGCCAAGCGTGGCAACTACGGTAAGAATTATAAATAAACGATGTCCAGTCCCCGGCATCTCAGCTGTTCCCGGCTGCGGTGGTAAGATCATGATAACGGCGTAGCAAGGAATACTAAGAATCTCCGATGGAGGTTCAGTTGCCACCTAATACGACTCGACCTTACAACATACAACAACAACATTCAACGGACGCACCCTGAGGACTGGCGAAAAGATCTGGAGCTGGAAGAAGATATAGACAAATTGCGCTGGGATATTATTTGAGGTCCAAAAAGAAGGGGAGGTCACAGTAATCCTCGAATCCGGCAATTTGTACAATCACCGGCAGGGCAACCATCTGTCCCAAGTACGTGTGGAATTTATGGTTCACAAGTCTCTCGCTAAGACCGTTGTAAAGATTAGACCGTTGTAAAGATTGTGAGTGTATCGACGAGGATTGCGTACTTTAAACTTAGAATCAGCAAACGGTATTCGGTAAAGGTCATACAGATTTACACACCAACTTCGGCAAATCCAGATATGAGGTGGAGGTAATGTATGAGGATATTTCTAAAGCGATGCATTTGTCCAAAACTCACTATAAGGTGTTAAGGGGAGACTTCAAGGCAAAACCAAGCCTAAGAGAAAACGGTGGTCTGAAAGTGGGGAATTCGGTATAGGACCACGGAACTCAAGGGACAATAACTAGCAGACTTCATGCAGAAAGAGGGACTCCATATGATGAACTCTTTCTTCCAAAAGCGATCTCACATAAAATAGATGTGGTCAAGCCCGTAGGGTTCTATATAAATTGAGATTTGATTTCATTATGACCAGGCAACAGTTCGGTGGTGTCTTAGTGATCGCAAGGGTGAAAACTGGCAGCAATCAGTGAGAGGCACATTGAACCTAAAAGTTAAGGTGGAGGGAGGTTACGCCTAATGAAGTCAACGCTCCGTCCCCCGGTCCGTGGTAAAATAAAAATGACTTTCAATAAGAATTACTTGTAATCAATATTGAATAAAAAAATATTCTATTCTATAGTCGCGGTATATCTGAGCACCAGCACGGTTTCTCTCCGGGGCGATCTACGGTAAAAGCGCTGTGTGTTTTGCTCAGCACGGCAAAGTATTCTCGGGCATGCTACATGCAAACAACCTTCTTGAATATCTCTGGCGCTTTCCACAATGCCCGGTGGCCGATGATGATAGTCAAAGCGAAAAGGGATGAAGGTTCACCTAACATTTACAAAATACTGGATTACTTCACCTCTAGGCGTGTAAGTCTCTACGTCGGTGACCGGGTAGAGTGGAAGACGTCGATCGTGGGATAATAATTAGGCGTAGGGAGGTGACGACTCCATAGCCCGTTGACGTACCAGTTATACTCTATTCCAATTACGAAGTTCCTTTTGACACTTAGAACGTAGTTTTATTTTTACTTTTTTACATAGTGACGTGACTAAAAGAATCGTATAAAATCGATTATAGACAGATTCTTTTCGCGAGTGAAAATCTGTCAACACTGCGTCCACCTCGTGATCACTACCGCCATTTTGTTTGTCTCTTCAGTACGAGTGCAGAAGCCTTGTATACGATACGCGTGTTCAGTTTAGTTGATTTTGTGTTGTGTTTTTATTTCGTTCTTGTTATTGTAGTTATAGCTGTTTGATAATTATTTCGTTTTTATTAAGTTTTGACTGTCATTTGATTTGTTTTTTTTTTTTGTATTTATATTATAAACACTATAGCCGAAACTGAGACCACTAAAAGAACAGTGATTCGCAGTCAAGCGCGAGAGTTTGTAGTACGCCTACAAGATTACTTTGAAAGAGAGTATCAGAATGATGGTCCATCGTTGCCACTTTCACAAGTGACTAACCGAGTAAGTGCAGCTCTTGGTATTAGTCGAAAAACTGTTTCCCGAATAAGTAAGGAAAAACATGGTAAAGATTTAATGGAAGATAACAAATTCAAATCACCACTTAAGAAAAAAGTTAGAAGATCGATAGTTACACATATCGACAATTTTGATAACGACGCCATTAGAAACCATATCTATAGCTACTATAGTAGGAACGAATTGCCGACTCTCGATAAATTGTCAAATACTTTATGTATTTGACAATTTATCTTGTATGCGTAGGTATATGGATGTGGAGGAAGCGAGAGAGGTGTGTCAGGATCGTGCCAAATGGAAGTCCATAATCTCTGCCTACCCCTTTGGGTGACAGGCGTGAGTGTTTATGATTATGATTACTTTACCAGAATCTGGACTGTTTCACGGCAGTAGAACTTCTTTCTGGATGGTTCTAAAAAATGTTGGCTATTCTTATAAAAAATGTGATAAAAGGCGGATTTTGATGGAACGTAGAAATATAGCTTTAGCCAGATTTAATTTTCTAAGATCAGCAAAGTCCCTTGCCGTTTGGAATAGTGTTATATTTCTGGACGAGACGTGGCTAAACGCTAATCATACAGTTGGCAAGATTTTATTTAGATTAGTTGGACAGACGACACTCCTCATTCTTCCACAAAAGTACCTAGTGGCAAAGGCGAACGCTTAATTATTCGTCATGCGGGTTCCATGAAGGGATTTGTTCCAAACTGCCTCTTGGTGTTTAAATATAAGAAAACTGTGGAATACCACGAAGAGATGAATTTTGTTAAATTTAAGAAATGGTTTTGTTTCTTATTGACCAACTTGAATGAGCCATCGACGATCATTATGGACAATGCACCGTATCATTCAGTACAAATAAGTAAGCCTCCAACTTCTAGCAGCAAAAAAAGCCGATATTGTGAAATGGCTGAATGACAATAATATTGTTGCTGACATGTCCATGTTAAAAGTTGAGCTGCTGCATTTGGTAGCTATAAATAAGCCAGCTAGACCAAAATACGTATTGGACGAAATGGCTAAGGAAGCCGGACACAATTTAATGCGCCTTCCACCCTACCATTGTCAATACAATGCCATAGAATTGATTTGGGCGCAAATTAAAGACAAGAATTTTAACAAATCTTTTTTATAATTTATTTTTACCTATTTTAACATTTTATCTGTTGCTATATTAACACGCAAACTATTATTTTAGGTTATGCGGCTCGTAAAAATACCAGCCCACCGTTTACTGCAAACAAAATGCTGTCATTGTTGCAAGAAGCTTGTGATAGTGTTACTGCCGCGAATTGGGAAAGTGTGGTTTTACGAACAAAAAATTTGATTTTCGCTGATTGGGACAGAGACATACATATCGATGCCGACATAGATAACCAAATTATAATAATTACAGGGGATTCTACAGACGATGATGAGGGTGATGACGATGATGCCGACCATGAAATATCGATTTCGGCTAGTGATGATGAATATGTTCCATCTTGATAAAAATATCATGTAATATTATATAATTAAAATTAAAAAACAATGTTATAAATTTTAATTTGATGCTAATCCTTTTTCTGACAATACGATTCTAATTTGTTCGTTATAGTAATCGAAGATCAATATCGTCAAGTATCGACTATAGCGGTACTTTACTAGTACTTGATTATTGACATCTGTCAAATGGGACTTCGTAATTGGAATAGAGTAGTAATGACAAAACTGCTACGTCAGCACAGTCAGTCAGAGCCTTGCCAAGAGGTATGAGCGCCGTGCCTCGGCAGAATTAAGGGTGCATAGGCCCGTTTTGGTTTACGACGCACCGTGAAACGGTGCCGGGCCTGGGCGTCTCCCGTTAATTGACGCACATTTAATAGGTGATGGACAAAAAAAGATTGCGCAAATGGCCGCTGCTTGAAGGTCGCCAGGAAGCTTTATTTATTTATTGATGTTAGTATATTTAATATATAATATACAGCCCAACCAGATGAGATTACTTTATAAATACCCCTCCATAATAATAAAGTTTATTTCTAAATAAAAATCATGAAAAATGATGATGACTAGCTGTGTCCGCGATTTCGTCCGCATGTTAGTCGAAATTATATTCGTAAAAATAATGTGAAGCTTTTTCTTCCTACATCATTTCATTTCTAGGAGACAACTTTTTCTCTCTTTTTTTTTAAAATATTGCTTGATTGAAATTTCAATACAATTAAAAGTGCGCGAAATCTTGTAAAATGTTCTAGATGAATGTTTTATTACGTACACTTACTGAAGTATTTTCGTTTTAAGAAGTTCGATTTTTCTTTTGACACTAAACAATTAATTAAAACTAATTGTGATTAAAAATTGTGTCGCATTTTGATTTCTCATAAATTAATCATCCAAGTTTTCGAAACATCATCATCATCATCACAGCACACCACAAGTCCACTGCTGAAAATGATTTCCTTCATAGGTTGCCGCACAGCACGGTCCTCATCTGCTTTGCTTCATGAGTTTCTCGTTTATGTACCTACTAAGTTATAATTATTTTTGCTTATTTTTATCTTTCTCAAAAAATTATGAAAAAATAAGGTGATCTTAATAGTATAATAGGAACGCAAGTACCCTTATACATCTTTTGCTAAACTTTCAGTTCAGAAGCCAGTTTTATAATATAGACATTATAATTAATAACATATTATTTTAGTTTATGACCATGACTGAAATTAGGAACTTCTTATTGGGTACCCTAAAACCAAATAACATCCTGAAGGCTGACATTATGTATATCTAATTACAGCGCCATTATTTGCCAGTAAAATAAAATTCTTATAAATTTATTAGAAAACTAGCTGACTAGGCAGACTTTGTTCTGCCTTTTCCGACGACCATGTGTCCTAAAAATATCATTAAATTCACAATAAAAAAATTGAGGGTCACTTATCAGGATAAAAACTATCCTATCTCTCAAGTTGGACCAAACTGCATACATTGTGAAACATTTCATTTAAATCAGTTCAGTAGTTTAGGAGTTCATCAAGGACAAACAATGTGACACGAAATTTTAATATATAAAGATAACCTATGTCTATAGTCATATTAAAGCTAGTCACAAAGCCTAATGATGATATTATGTAAAATAAGCCTGATTTTATCGGGACCACAATTTATAAAAAAATGAGCGTTGTCCGTTGCGTAGGTGTTTTGATTTTAAATTTAACAATGATACATCTATAAATGTGTGGTAATATTTGGAATATACTTTTCTCTAATTACGAATAATTTTTAGTTGACAATATTTATAGTAAAAACTATTAGAAACCTTTTTTTTTTAAGGCGAAATGGCTGGTATTAGGGTCGGGGCTACCATTAGGGGCACCTACATTAAATTTTCGTAAAATAATTGGGAAGCGAAAGATAATATATTTATTTTTTAAATTTTTCTCTAAGGGATTCCCTCGGACCTAGGTTATAAATTGCTCTTAGGCTCTCTTTTTCAAAACAAAGATAGTTTCAGTGTCAGTCGCATTACCCCATGGCAATATTACATATGACATTATACTATGGAAATAACTAAATTAAATTAATCTAGCTGTTTCAACACATGTAAGGCCTCTAATCTTTTTTACTGCATAATATGCTGCAGAACTAAATTTGCTAGCTAATTTAGATATATGAGGGCCCTTTGAAACTTCGCGTCAACTGTAATTCCGAGAACAACATTGGATTCAAGAAGGCCCAGCGCCTCCCCATTTAAAAGCACACTGGTTATTTACTTGTTTTATATTAGATGTGGTTTATTTAATACATTATGTTTTATCACTGTTCAAAAGCAAGTTATTGACGTTAAACCAATCTATTACGTTTAATATAGCATTATTCACTTCGTCATATTTCAATAATTGCCTTTTAAGTCGGAAAATCAACGAAGTATCATCAGAAAATAATACTATATCATGGTTATTCCCAAGTAAGGTAAGTCATTAATATGAAATAAGAACAGAAGGGGACCAAAAATTGAGCTCTGAGGAACAGCTGTCGATAGTAGATACTTAAATAAAAGTAGTTTTTACGGATTTTATCGTGTATAATAACTTTTTTTATAGGATAAGGGTGACATACAGTCCACCTGATGGTAAGTGATTGCTGTGGCCCATAAACATCTACATCTATCTTCGATTACGAATCAAAATGCAGATGCGTTGTCACAACAAAAATGCTCCGATCTATATGACACAAACAAATCCATAGACACATCATCCAATGAATTAAAGGCAGTTTTAACCACATTTGATTATAATGTTTGTATTGAAACGTTAAATAAACGAGAAATTAATAAATATAACGAATGAAAAAACAAACATATAGAAAAACATCAAAAATTAACGACCAAATTAAATGTCAAACATTTGTGTCAACCGCACCCAAAAAGGAGTGGAGCAGACGGAAGCGAAACATTTGGGGCGAGGTGATCACTCTCTGGCAGGATCGATGGACGAAAGAGTGAAAAGGACGCGAGCTCCATCTATTATTCCAAGATGTAGCGTTGCGACTCAGATTTATCTGGGTCTCACCGGACTACCAAATCTCTCAGATTCTCACTAGACATGGATGTTTTCGGAAGAGACTGTGCGACATGCGACTGTGTGAATCTAGTACGAGTGTTGTACGATAGAGGAGAATGATCACAATGTTCTATGGGTATTTTCTTTGTATGACGATCTAAGAGTTAAAAAACGGTAAATCCAATTGGGCATGCCCTAAGCATATTAAAAAAATACACACAAGTTTTCACGAATAACCTTATTATACTTCGAATTCCCGATAATTTTATGTCAAACTTCGAAAAAAAAATGTTTGGAAAATCGAAAGTGCACGACTCATAATGCTCATATGATCATCATATCATCATTCATGTCACTCCATACAGTCCAAGACGTATTTAAGTATAAATATTACATCTTACTTACTTTTAGTACATGCTACTATTATTTATTCTGTGCTTATAAACTATTGTAATAAAAATCTCTGATTATTATACATAAACATATATAAACACTCACGCCTGTCACCCAGAGGGGTAGGCAGAGACTACGGACTTCCATTTGGCGCAATCCTGACACACCTCTCTCGCCTCTTTCACATCCATATATCTACGCATACACGCTCGTCGGTTAAGGGTACTCCTAATCTGGCCCATTTTCAATGTATCGCCGATCTGGTCGATAAACCTTCGTCTAGGGCGTCCCTTCCCGACCCTGCCGTTCACTTCTGCAATAATCAAGTATGTATGAAATTTGGTTTTTCGAATATTGTGTATTTGTACAGCGATCTCTTTGAGCCGCTGCAAACAACCAATACAGTATCCACTCACGACGGCGATTGACGGCAAACTAACTGAGTGAGTGAGGCAGTCTGTATTTAGTAAAAAATAAATTCATACAAGGCTGCTAAAACACCGAATATTTTGACATTTCGCAGCCAAAGAAAATTAATTATAACTAAACAAAACAAAATTAAACTGCCATTTACATTCAATGGCTTCCCACATGATAGATGAAGAGTTTTAAAAATATATTGAGCTGAACAATTGATATTTTCAAAAGTTATCGTGTTTACGAAGCCATGCGGACTTGATAAATCCACACCATAAGCCAATAAAACCCCTTTTTATGTAAAAATAGCAATTAATCGATTTAAAAAATATTAATAAGTTAAACAATCATTTATCTTTCTGACAATGTACTTTTTATATCATTCATATGTATAATACGATTGCTAGATACGATTTCATGGGAGAAAACGTAGGAATCTTAATTTTTTTAACAGAATATACCTGCGCGCTTTGCGTTTACGGTATGCAATAATGGATGAATTAATTCATTCGGTTCAAGAACAGATCTATTACTTGGATCTCGTCAGCGGTGGGGTGAATTATGAGTTCCTGCGCGAGTTTGCGCATCGGTGGGATGATCACAGAATTAAGCAGGACAGACTACAGAAAAAAAGGCCTGACGACGTTGGCTTAAGAGTATCCTCTACCCCAAAAGGGAGAGAGTGACGTTAAAACGCAAACAGATTAAAAAACTTGTAGGGAGTCAAGAAAGTGCGCGCGGGAGAGCCTCGTGCAAGTATTCGTACATCTCCCGAGATTCGGCCCGTATGACCTGAGGGTCGATGGGGCCATGAGAGGTGGAGAGTTGTCGCTTCTTACGACACCAACGAGACGATATCATCCATCCATTACAGCCTATATAAGTCCAGTGCTGAACATAGGCATCCTTCACAATTTTCCTTAAGGGGCATTTTGACAAAGTCACCTAGCTTGGCACAGCATTTTTTTATTATTTTTAGATATTATCAGGAAGATGATGCTGTTCATCTCTTGTTTCAGTTTTCCTCTGTCGCCTCTTACGACACACACGGGACGATATAGGGTAACGGATATTCTTAAACCGCCACTACTCTTAAGAGGGTAAGACTTAGTATTCTTAAACCGCCACTACTCTTAAGAGGGTAAGACTTAGTAAATACACACTAATATTAGTTCTATTTTTATTTAACTCACGCATAAAAATAAATTATCGGAAATAGGTAACATGTAAAAAAAACCCCTTTAAATTCAGACATCGACGCCGTTTCTTTAGATGGTAATCGGTCGACGTGTTGAAGAAAAAACACTAGCAACCAACTTCACATCTAAGGACCAAGATGGATTACTCCTGGGCCTGTAAATATTCTGTCTCTTACACTTCATACTGAAACACGTTAAGGACGGTGTACCAGACAGACTCCAGGTCAGAAGCTCCAAGCACCTAGCATATAAAATTAATTTCTATCTTGTAGAAAAAAGTATTACTTAGCATTTTAAAGTACAATTTAAAAACAATTACATAACGTAACAAGCCGGATTTAAATTATTAAATATCTATTCTTACCTGGTTAATTGCGGCATATTTTTTAGGCTTCCAAGGTCCTTCGGAGACATGTTCTTCCCTTCGCCTGGTCAAAGTGCCCTGTTGAGGTGTAACCACTAGTGCTTCCGGAGCTTTGTACACCTGGACAACAATAATATTTTATTTTATATATTGGAACGACGTTTTTATCAGACGGTACAAATTTGGCGGATGGAAGCTAGGCGAGAAAAAGTTTGAGATTTTTCCGTCACGACCCCTTCTGACGTAGTGTAGAAGCGAGATGGAATAATATCCATCTCCCTCGCGCTTTTTCTTATATTACCATGAAAGAAATAATATTTTATTTAAAGTGACATTTCATTTTAATAGACGCTAGTAATTCATTTATCTGTATTTCATAATCAATAATATAACACGTTTATCAATAATAATATACTACGAAAGGAACTTCGTTCCAACCGAGTGTTCCACGACACTCACGCATGTTTTTATTAATTTAAATATATAACTTATGCTTATAGTATATAATATTTATATATTTATATAAGTATAAATGGAGATAAACAGAAGTAAGGGTAGAACTCAAAACTTTCACTCATTTTAGCAGTATAGTTTTCGATTCGTTTTACTCGAAGATCCCGTCTAAATCATTTAATAGGTTTTTTTCTAGGATAGGGTGACAAACGAGCACACAGTCCACCTGATGGTAAGTGGTTGCTGTGGCCCATAGACACCTACATCTACATCTGCAGTTTGCGAATCAAAATGCAGATGCGTTGTCACCCGTGAGAACTAAGATGGAATGCCTCTTTTCCAGTAAAAAGGGTCTCCGGTTCTCTACACTCACCATACGAAACACAGCAGTGTTAAGCTGCTATTTTACGCTGGTTATCTTGTTTGTTGTGATTCTGTCCATTAATCTGTTGGAAGAAGCAAAGGAGTGTATACCGCGGTGAAGCCAACCATTAAAACATCGTTAGAAGCAATATTGCTGTTGGTTTGCATACTTAATTATGTATGTCCATCATGTTACATTAATATGTAATTATGACCGAGACGTATTAAATGTCTAGTACGGTACGAAGTTTTATTGCTGGTAAGGGTTAATTGTGAACATCCGCTCACATACTATTATTATTTTTAACCTCTCACTTTTGTGACAAAAAATGCAGCGCTCGCACTTCAACACGTGGTAGAGCGACGCTGCTGCTATATTGTGGTTGTAGCACGATTGGGTCGGCTCGACCGGGGAAGGACCACACTCTTATAGAATACCAGCGTCAAATAGCAGCTGAATGCTGCTGTGTTTTGTAAGGTGAGTGTAGAGAACTGAATAAATACCCTTTTTACTGGAAACGCGGCATTCAATCACAGTTTTCAGGGGTGACAACGTATCTGCATTTTGATTCTTAATTGAGGATAAATGTAGATGTCTATGGGCCACAGCATCCACTTGCCATCAGGTGGACTGTGTGCTCGTTTGTCACACTTATTCTACAAAAAAAACACATGATTGTTGTTCAATGGATCTCGTCGAGTAATTTCCGTTGTTAGGAGACAATCGTGACGCAGGAGTTAGTTTGCAAAGTTCATAATGAATTATTTATTTCAAATATTTTATCGATTTAAATGCCAGTGTGAACCGTTCATGAGAATAGCGGAATCCTACTTAGCTGCTCATATGAGTGAATCGTACAATCTATTACATCAATTAATCATCTGACTCAAAGGACCAACGTCTTTCAAATCGTAAACAAACATAAAAAAACAGCCATACCAATACCATAGTGGCTATGTCGCTTACTGTAGTTTTACTGCAGAATCTTCATTACAAAGTCTATCACGTAGTGAAACCTCGAATATAGGACATTGATCTTCCTCACACAGCCAGCAGTGAAGGACTATGTCTCAGACATATATGCAACACGCATAGGTACACTTTTGTTTACAAGTTTTAAGGTACACAATAGACTAAAAGGCCAGAGTAAAAATCTTAACATCTGCGTTAAAAATATTACTCCCTACACTGGAGTTTTTTTCCTATTTTTTCCTTATTCTGTGGGCCACATACAGGAAAACACATAGCCACATCACAGCGTGGTTTTTTCTGCGGAGCTGGAATTTTTTTTAATCTAATCTTAGTTATGCTAACATACTTGCTTAACGTTAACAATATTATCTACACAACTTTACCTGTCCAGTGACACCTCTCATCAGCACTTCAGCAAGTTGTCTAGCCAACGTCAGGCGTAAAGATTGCGTTGATACTGATTCCACAGCGGTTAACATTTCCCGGTACCTGAAGGGATTACACAATTAAAGAGTGTAATAAATAAAGTTAACTGTATAGTGTCAATAAGGAAAACTAACAAGCACACAGGTTAACAATTAACAGAGTCGAACTCTGGTATAAGGTTTTAATTCTGACCGAAGTTTCCCTGACGTTGCTAGTCAGCAATTCTATTTTTCGAAATGTATCTTATATGTGGTAGAGCCACGCTGCAGCTATATTATAGGTGTAGCACAAATGGGTTGGACCAGATAAGGTCAAAGCTCTCACAGAATACCAGCGTGAAATAGCAGTGTAATGCTGCTGTGTTTCGTATGGTGAGTGTAGAAAACCCGAGACCCTTTTTACTGGATACGAAGCATTTCATCTTAGTTTACAGGTGTGGACAACGCATTCTACATTTTGATTCTTAATCGAAGATAGATGTGCCTATGGTCCACAGCATCCACTTACTATCAGATCCATCTGTGCACAATCCATTGTGTGCTCGTTTGTCACCCTTATTCTACAAAGAAATATCTTATGATACTTCTAATTGGGTATGTGAAACAATAACATATGGCAGCTCTCAGAAATATTCAGATGTTGCTGTTGTCATATTTAGTCTAGATAATAGTATAATAAAATGAGCCCTCAGACAATATAGTCACTTTTCATCAATATTGTAGTGTTTGCATATATATAAGTCACTGTCTCGAGCGCACGGCGTCAGTTACACGAGAGCCTCGGGCGAGAGTGGACGTGTTTAGTTAAGTGCGTGCCGAGCGATACTATTTTACCGCTTTCATGACATATATAAGTCTAACAGAAAACCGTGGACACTTCACGACTTCTGTAAATTGCATAGTAGGTAACTAGTAATACTGTAAATGCGCATTATAGGTATTAAATTCACCCAAAGCCTAAATGGCACAGCAATGGAAGTAGTCGGTATAACAAATAAACCGAAAGAGAAGGGTGAGTATTATGGAACATATTACTATCATTAAATTGAGTTTGGGTATTAAGATACCATCATTAAATTGAGTTAGTGTACTAAGATACATCATTAAATTGGAGTTTGGGTACTAAGATACCATCATTAAATTGAGTTTGGGTACTAGGATACCACCATTAAATTGGAGTTTGGGTACTAAGATACCACCACTAAATTGGAGTTTGGGTACTAAGATACCACCATTAAATTGGAGTTTGGGTACTAAGATACCACCATTAAATTGGAGTTTGGGTACTAAGATACCACCATTAAATTGGAGTTTGGGTACTAAGATACCATCATTAAATTGAGTTTGGGTACTAAGATACCACCATTAAATTGGAGTTTGGGTACTAAGATATCAACATTAAATTGGAGTTTGGGTACTAAGATACCACCATTAAATTGGAGTTTGGGTACTAAGATACCACCATTAAATTGGAGTTTGGGTACTAAGATACCACCATTAAATTGGAGTTTGGGTACTAAGATACCACCATTAAATTGGACTTTGGGTACTAAGGTAGGTACCACCAATAAATTGGACTTTGGGTACTAAGTTACTACCATTAAATTGGACTTTGGGTATTAAAATACCAGCATTAAATTGGAAATAAATATATAAGAAACTGTTTCAGTTTGCCCCTAAAATAATAATAATAATGATACCGTTATCAACTTTAATGTGGTAGCACATCTATGGCTATAAGGTGTGAAAAATGGAAAAGGTCTCTAATAATCTATCTGGATGCAGCTGAAGTTATATCAGCACTCAAGAAACGAGCTACGCTATTGCATTTTGGTGGCTCTGGGATATAATAAATATTCTACAATTTACCGGGTGCCAATGTCGAATCATCAGAAACCGCTAATGTATTTAAAGTAGCCATAAAAAAAACTCTACGAGTATTTTCAACCTAAACGGAGCAAAGTTTATGAGCGGCATGTTTTTCGATTGCTAAAACAGGAAAAAGGAGAAAAATTTGAGAAGTTTTTGATAAGATTGCGTCAACAGGCCGAAAAGTGTGCATACGAAAAGCAAGATGATCATCTCATAGATCAAATTGCGGAAGAGTGTAATTCAAAATTGCGCAAGAACCTTATATCTTACAAAACGTGGGAAGAGTTAAAAAAGCAAAAAGTATATGCTTTTAATCAAATGTAAAGACCAAACAAGACATTATTAGCATATGGTAGTAACTCTCCTTTGGCAATAGAGGGTTCATTTGAAACTATACTCGAAGTCGTTGGGCGAAAGGAACATACAACCATTTACGTGATTTCGGGGAGTACTAGAGACCTGTTGGGTAAGAACACAGCAGTCCGTCTGGGTGTCTTAAAACTTGGTATCGGGATAAATCAAATGGAGAGTACCGATCCCCATTAAAGAGAAGGTTGCAATCAAAATTAAGGAATCACTAAACAGTAATATAATTGAAGAAGAGCAAGGCCCGTCTAAATGGGTTTCACCAATGTTCCAATCATGAAAGAAAATGGTGAATCATGTTTGTATGTAATTACGTAGATATGAGATGTACGAACGCCGCTATATTGCGAGAAAACCACCCCCTGCCTACTATGGACCATTTTTGCCTAAAATGAAGAAAGCTAAATATTTTAACAAATTAAACATAAAAAAATGCCTTCCATCAAGTGGAAATTCACTCTGAATCCAGACACATAACGACTTTTATAACCCCCAAAAGATTATATAGATATAAAAGAATAATGCTTGGAATTACCTGCGCTTCCGAGATTTTTCAGAAGATCATTGAAAGGATGCTGATAAACTGTGAAGGGGTCGTCAATTTTATTGATGATATCCTGGTATTCGGGAACAGTGAAGAAGAACATGACGCATGACTAAAGAAAGTTCTACAGGTACTTAGTAAAATCAACGCCGTGCTGAATAGCAATAAATGCATATATAAAACGCAGGATGTGAATTTTCTGGGACACAGGCTTACACATGAAGGAGTAAACCCTTCAACAAGTACGTTGAGAACATTATGAAATTTAGGGTCCCAAAGACCATAGAAGAACTCCAAAGTTTTTAGGACTCTTAAACTACATAAACAAATGGATACCTAACTTAGCCGCCATGACAGAACTTCTGAAGCACCTGCTAAGACAAGATGAGCAAAAGGAAGAGATTGGAAAAACAATGGTCTGGGAAACAAGATAAAGCATTCCAAAAACTCAAACGGATGCTCACGGAAAAACAGATTTTAGGGTATTATGACGTCAGAGATGCAAGACAGGTGATAGCAGATGCTAGCCCTGTCGGACTTGGTGCTCTCCTTGTACAAATTGATACAAATGGCCCTAGAATTATTGCCTATGGTAATCGAATTTTGACAGACTGCGAGCGCAGGTATAGCCAAACGGAAAAAGAGGCACTAGCATTAGTTAGGGGGGTCAAATATTTAAATTTTTTTTTATTTGGAAAGCCTTTTGATTTAGTCACTGACCACAAGCCGCTAGAGATATTGTTCGGGTCTAAGTTAAAACCATGTGCGAGGATTGAACGATGGGTACTGAGGCTACAGTCTTATTGATTCAAGGTTGTATACAAGCCAGGAAAAACAAATATAGCTGATCCCTTGTCACGATTATGTAACTATCCTGATAACCCACCAAAAGGAAAAGACCAGCATGTGTACCATATAGTGGAAAATTCTAGACCAGTTGCTATACCAATGAGTACCATTGTAGCATATTCAGAAAAAGACCAAGAGATTTACAAAGTGAAAAAAGGTGTCAATCAAAACGACTGGGACAATTCGATTAAGAGTTACAAATTTTTTGAAAACGAGTTGTTTCCATGATAGCATTCTACTTCGTGGAAATAAAATTGTAATACCACAGCAACTCTGCAAGAGTGTATTAGATGCTGCATACGAGGGTCATCCAGGTATCGTAGCGATGAAGGGAAGCTTGAGATCAAAGGTATGGTGGCCCCGTATCGATAAAGACGTAGAACAATTAGTAAAGTCCTGTAAAGGTTGTACGTTAGTGGGTTTGCCAAACCCACCTGCACCAATGAAGAGACGTGAGTTGCCTTCAGCTCCATGGATAGATGTCACAATGGATCTAATGGGACCATTGCCAAGTAACGAGTATCTATTAGTAGTGGTCGACTACTACAGTCGATACAAAGAAGTAAAAATTACAAAAACATCACAAGCTTACAGATTATTAAAATCGTAAAATAAATGTTCAGTAGACTTAGTTATCCTATTTCTATCACCGCAGACAATGGCAAGTAGTTCGTTAGTGAAGAGTTTCGATCTTTCTTCAAAGAATGTAACATTAAGTTATTTAGTACTGTACCATATTGGCCTCAAATGATCGGCGAAGTTGAAAGACAAAACAGAGATATTTTGAAACGTCTTCGTATCAGCCAGATCGAGAGGAAGGATTTAAAAGAATGTTTGTGGGAGTATCTTCTAATGTATAACAGCACCCCTCCTTACAGTTACCGGGAGGTTACCGTCTGAACAGTTTTTTCAACGAAAAAGTAGGGATAAAATTCCATCAATAGGTGAAATAAATTACAGACAATCATTTAGATTCCGATATCAGGGATAGAGACAAAATACAAAAAGAAAAAGGAAAAGAGTACATACTCTTTTCCTTTTTCTTCTTTTTGTATTTTGTCTTAGTACCCAAACTCCAATTTAATGGTGGTATCTTAGTACCCAAACTCCAATTAATCCAAATATCTACATAGATAGGAAACGCAGAGCAACTCACTCAGATATAATACAGGGAGATGAGGTTTACGTAAAAGCAGTGGAACAATCGAATAATCTTACAAAAAATTTTAAACCGACGCCACACGTCGTAGAGAGTGCACGAGACGGTGACTGCACAGTACGCAATAGTGAAACGAACCAAAGGTTTAGGAGAAATGTGATACATTTGAAGAAAGTAGGAGGCGATTGGACGGCTATTCCACCCAACCAGAATGAAAAAGAACAAAATCTAGAACAGGATAAAGAAGACGAAAATATGTAATAATTAATACAGACAATACAAGCTGCTTGTGATTGTTATGAGTTATAATAAAAAAAAAGAAAAAAAATTTTGATAAGAAAGAGATGTAGTGTTTACATATATATATAAGTCACTGTCTCGAGCGCACCGCGTCAGTTTTTTTTTTTATAGGATAAGGTTGACAAACGAGCACACAGTCCACCTGATGGTAAGTGGTTGCTGCGGCCCATAGACATCTACATCTATCCACTGTTACAAATCAAAATGTAGATGCGTTGTCACCCGTGAGGATTAAGATGGAATGCCTCATTTCCAGTAAAAAGGGCCTCCGGCCACCTGCACACACCAAGCGAAACGCAGAGGTAAACCTCTACTTCACGCTGGTTTTCTGTGAGGTCGTGGTACTACACCGGTTCGAGCCGGCCCATCCGTGCGACAGCATAATCTGCCGCGTGGCTCTACCACTGTTACACGAGAGCCTCGGGCGAGAGTGGACGTGTTTAGTTAAGTGCGTGCCGTAATTTTTCTATATTTTTTCTAATGAAAGATAGAGAGAGATAGGGCGAGAAAAGGAGAGGACCAACTTTTTTTTTAATTGAAGCATGATAGTTATAAATTACTAATAAAATTTTTCAATTAGCATTATATCAACATATTATATTAATATAGAAAATAAAAACAAAATAAATGAGAATATTAGAAATATATAAATTCATTATTACTCCAATTTTCAATTTAGGGATCCCATCTCTTACACAAGTTACAATCGAATTTCCTAAGAATGAAAACAATGGGTTATACTATTATTTAGAACTATTTAATAGTTTAAACAATGCAAACTTTTGAAGTAAGAAAGGCTACATTTACTATCGTGGACTGTTAGTTTGTATGTCACTCCGATATTATTAAAAAAACATTCAATTAAGACCAACCAACAAAGAAAGAAAGACGAAGCACTGTGAACATTTCAAGTGACGCAAAAACCAAACTAAAACCATGCATGCCATTTTGTACGTGGTAGATCCATGCTGCAGCTATATTAGTAGTATAGTTGTAACACGAATGGGTCGGCTCGACCGGGGAAGGACCACGCTCTCACAGATTACCAGCGTGAAATAGCAGCTTAACACTGCTGTGTTTCGTATGGTGAGTGTAGAGAACCGGAGATCCTTTTTACGGGAAAAGAGGCATTCCATTTTAGTCCTCACGGGTGACAACGCATCTGCATTTTGATTCGCAAACGAGAATAAATGTAGATGTCTATGGGCCACAGCAACCACTTACCATCAGGTGGACTGTGTGCTCGTTTGTCACCCTATCCTATAAAAAAATGCTCATCTTAGAACACTTACTCACGTACAAAGGCCTCTAAAACAACGTGCAACCAATCTAAAATAATTTTTCAGTGCATATGCTAGAAGGAATAAAAATATAAAGGAAGAAAGAAGAATGATGTGTGTTGCGTACTAAGAAGTTGAACGTGGTTTCGGAGTCACTTGAAATCCGCTCCGTCAATTTTTTTTATAACTGGCTTTACGGCTCTGGGTTCTAGCCCTTCTGAGCCTGAAGTTACAATGTATAATAATTATCCTTCATAGTACACTGCTCCACTATATATTGATGCGCCACATTGTGCAGCCCTTGGAAGATTTTGACGGCAACTTGATCCAACAGACAGCTGACAGCTGGCGATGGTATCTAAGGCGCCTAAGTAGAGAATCACATCACACCATCAGAGCACTTGTTTAGACCATTTCCACTAATAGTTCACATGTGCAGACATTTAATACACATAATTTAAAATTTAAAATTTTGTACAGCCGACTTCAATATAAGTTATTTAAGAATAACTCAAAAACTATTGGTCTGACCTTGATCAAATTCATATGGGACCACACGAGAACTATCAGCTTTCATATAAAAAAAGAATCATCCAAATCGGTTCACCCAATACAAAGTTATGAGGTGATGTTGATGATGATGTTGCATCCCTTTGCATTTTCTTTCGCATCTACCATGGGGAGTGCTCTGAGGAATTGTTAGGATTAATCCCAGCCGCCAAATTTCACGAACGCACATCGCGGCAGAACTCCCGATACCATACACACCATCTGGATGGATGGCGGTCCACCACTGTGCGATTTAGAAGATGTTTTCTTCATCGCACTACCTCCTTGTGGAATCGATTACCATCAGCGATTTTTCCGGACCGATACGACTTAGGGACCTTCAAGAAAAGAGCGTACTCCTTTTTAAAATGCCGGCAACGCATCTGCGATTCCCCTGGTGTTGCAGTTGTTCATGGGCGGCGGTAGTCACTTACCATCAGGTGAGCCGCATGCTCGTTTGCCCCCTCTCCTATAAAAAAAAAAAAAGGTAACACACATAAAAAAAACATACAGTCGAATTGAGTACCGTCTCCTTTTTGGAAGTCGGCAGAAAATCGCACCACTTTTATATATATACTATCAAAATCCACTTCAAACCATTATTTAAACAATAATACAGGAGCAGCAATCCGTAGCCGGTCAAGTTCCCGCCCAAACTCCCCGCTCCGTCAATGTCTGTTTGTCGGTAAAAGTTTAAATAAATCACCTGTCAATAGCACTCTGCAGCCTGCCCGCCCGTATGTGCAGCAGCGGCGCCCGCTGCAGCGCGGTCTCCAGCACGACTCCCGCGCGAGCCGCCTGCGCCCGCTGCAGGTACAGCAGCGTCAGTTCCGATGCCAACTCGAAACTTCTGATCTGTTTGGAAACAAATGACACTCTGAATTTTATCGCTTTACTTTTATTTATTTACTAAAAAAAATTCTGAGACATGGTACCGGATCTATCGATAAAAAAGTTTTAAATTTTTACGGAACAAAATTGTTTAGCGAGGGTTATTATTGATAATAATCCCTGGGAATGAGGTGATAGCTACTATACTGTTTCTAAATGATTTCATACTTAATGTATAAAATACAATATTGTAATATACGTTTAAAAAAAAGTTCCGCTGAATTTCCAGCTGGTTATTCTCAGGGCAGACGTTTTTTCCAAACCAGTGGTAAAACCTAAATGACTTTCAATTGGTATTTTTATAATCTTATTGAATAAAAATGATTCTATTCTATTCTAATAATAAATTGTTGCATTATTATAACATTTAATATTATTAACATGTCTTACTAGCACCGGCGTAGAAATAGCACAATAAATAATTCTTAGTTGTGTTTTTTAATCATTACAATATACATACATTAATAATAAAAGTCATATAGCTTAATGTCAATAAAATCAAACTATCTAAGTACCTAAACTTAAACTCTTCCTTAATTATAAAACTATATATGTCATTTTAGAAAATGGTTGATAGCCTCAGGTTTAAGCTAATATCTAAGTCTATTTCATAAAAGAAGTTCTTTATACGCGGCGCAAAATTTTTCGCGTTTTCATTATAGGATAAGTGTGACAAACGAGCACACAGTCCACCTGATGGCAAGTGGATACTGTGGCCCTTAGATATCTCTACATTTATCCTCGATTGAGAATCAATATGCAGATGCGTTGTCACCCCTGAAGACTTAGATGGAATGCCTTTTATCCAGTAATAAGGGTCTTGTGTTCTTTACACTCACCATACGAAACACAGCAGCATTAAGCTGCTATGTTACACTAGCATTCCGTGAGAGCGTGATCCTTCTGCGGTCGAGCCGATCCATTCGTGAAATAAATTCCATCGCATATTTTCCAAGGTAATTCATTACCTTCCCTCCGCTCTATACTACTCTCTAGGGTCGGCTCGAGGGGGAAGGACCACGCTCTCACACAATACCAGCGTAAAATAGCAGCTTAACACTGCTGTGTTTCTTATGGTGAGTGAAGAAAACCGGAGACCCTTTTTACTGGAAAAAAGGATTCCATCTTAGAGTCGCAAGCGAAGATAAATGTAGATGTCTATGGGCCACGGCAACCACTCACCATCAGGTGGACTGTGTGCTCGTTTGTCACACTATACTATAAAAAAAGTACTTTTTGTAATAAAGCAGTACTTGTTAATGTTACCTTCGTTCATTCCATTTCAACCTATAAACTGCTAAACATAGACCACACCCATAGATTAATGAGTGGGACTTGGCATAGTTGCCACGCTTGGCAGAAGAGTTGGCAACCACAGTTTCATTATTTTGAGTTGTTATCAAGGCGCTGCTGCCTATCTCTTGTTTCAGCTTCCCTCTGTCGCCTCTTACGACACACACGGGACGATATGGGGTAACGGATATTCTTACACCACCTCTACATGAGTTGATGCTGCATCGCACATCAGATTGTCAATCTTTTCAAGCTGCTGTACATTCTTCATCAGCTAGTAAAATCCACGGCTGGTTATGTGCCTGTGATTGTTACTCTTACCAATTCAGATTCTCTTTCAGCCTGCTTAAATCGACTCGTGGATCCTGGTAGCGCATTCTGTTCAAGACAGAGACCTTTTATAGCATACGACTCGGCTACGATCCGGAGACTCCGTCTGGAAGAAACGACAACATTATTATTTTTTTAACTAAATATGAATTTTATTCTATAGGTATTGTACGTGGTAGAGCCATGCGACCCATTCATCATGCTAATGGCATGATGAATGGGTCGACTCGACCGTGATAGGACCACGCTCTCACAGAATACCAACGTAAAATAGCAGCTTAATGCTGCTGTGTTTCGTATGGTGAGTGTAGAGAACCGGAGACCCTTTTTATTGGAAACAAGGCAATCCATCTTAGTCCTCAGTTGTGACAATAAAGCTGCATTTTGATTATTTATTGCGGATAGATGTAGATGTCGATGGGCCACAGAGGATACTTACCATCAGGTGGAGAGTGTGTTCGTTTGTCACCTTTGTTCTATAAAAAAAAATCATATAATCTGTAAACTATTAAGTGTCTTAAAAATTTATTGATTTTCCATTTCAAGCTAAAAAGTGTTTTGGTTTTTAAAAATATATAAATAAAATAATAATGTGACTATAAACATTATTACACTATTATATTCTCATACTATTTTTGGTTTTTACCCAATATCTTACCAAAGTTAACAAGGAAATCAATATTCTAAATCTAATTAAAAATATGTAAGCCGCACTTGTCCCATGCACGTTTCAAAGCCGCGGCCTTACGCGGCAATCACTTAGCCACCGCTAATCGAACCATTTATGTTAATGTAATTGTACATTATGGTGAGTAGATACTGAAATTTCCGCAGCGACGGGAATCAGCTGCGAGAGGTCTTGCAAAGCGTGGTAGTTATGGTAAATCGTCTGTACTATGGGAAAAACCGTGTCCAGCAGTGGGCTGCAACAGGCTGATAGAGAAGATTTAAATCGGCCAATAGAACATTATCATCCTATCCAGTGATTAATATATAATAGTGCTTCACCGCAGAGAGGATATCGGTTATTAAACTTCTGATAAAAAATATGTTTTACGTATGAAAAACAATGCATGTTACTAGTCACTCAAAATATAAATGAATCTCTGGCTTTTACAAATGCACCAAATGCATTTAGATTTGATTTAATACAAAACTATTAGGTTTTGACAAAAATAGTGTTGGATTGTGTAATAGTATTTTAGCTTTTCCATTGTCGGATAAGGCTAGAAAACTTTATAAACTAGTATTGTTAGGTATTAAGAACAGATAATTTTTTATTATTGTTTATGTGAATTTATCATTGTTGATTATATGTATTTGATTGTGTACCTATGAGGGTGACATGATCTAATAGATCAAACCCTCTATAATCAATAAAGATTTAAAAAAAAAATATTTTGTTTTACATAACAATCACTGTAATGATATCAGTATTGGCAATGTTTTTTTTTAATATTTCATATTGTACGTATTTTTATTTTACATAGCTACGCAAATTGATAGTTAATAGGAAATAGTATATCAGGGTTTGTACAGGCTGTTAAAAAAAATTTAAAAATTTATTTATAGGGATATAATATGGATTTCACTATTAAATAGTCAATAAATAAGTATTTCAGCTACTAAAGTATGCCTTGAAAATTGTAACTATTTTACTTCAACTAAAAAACCAATATAAAATGAAAAATTAGGGCACCATTTGCATTAAAAACCTAGGGCACCTAAAAGATAAATCCGTCGCTGATCCTATCCTATATTAAACAATATTCTATGTTGGTTCAAATTCAAAAAAATATATTTAATAGAAGATGGTCTGTAATAATTTAAAATTAAAATTTTGTACAACCAACTTCAATATAAATTATTAAGAATAACTCAAAAACTATTGGTCAGACATTGATCAAATTTATATGGGACTACATGTGAAGCACCAGCTTACAAATAAAAAAAGAATCATCGAAATCGGTCCACCGAGTAAAAAGTTATGAGGTAACAACATACATAAAAAAAACATACAGTCGAATTGAGTACCCCCTCCTTTTTGAAGTCGGTAGAAAAAACGGCGTTTGTTTCCAAACTCAAATGAGTTATGTTAGAAAGAATGCATAATATGTATATACAATAAAATTAGAGTTCGGCTAATGAATGTTAAATACCTGCAAACATTACATCACTATGTGATAATTCATTACTTATTAGGTATAAGTATGAATGATTCAGTGTGAAGTGACTCAGACAACATATCACTCGGTAAAAACTATTTGAACGTTCCTTTTAAAAGAAACACCTTAGGAGTTCAACTATGGGTCAAGGCAACAAATAAACTGCAATCATTCATAATAACAGCTTGTAAGATAAAATGACATTCTATGTATATTGTACGTCTGAGATGAATCTATTGCAAACATGTAATTTACTTTCAACATATTATAATGTGAAATATGCATTTGCATATTAAAATGTAACCAGTTCCATAAACCATAGTACACTAGATATAGATTAACTGAACGCCCGGACAAGAGTTAAAAAGTTAAAATTAAATGCTATAAAACTGGTAAAATTTGTTTCATTTCATATGTAGTATCTACTTAAATAAAGTAAATCATGATTAGCCCACTCCTAAGTTTGGCCGACAAATATATATTACACAGTACTATATAATATATACCGTGATACATAATCCCTGTATTGATACTGTCTTTAGCCTAGTTCCAAAAAAAGGATGAGTGCAACAATTTAACTGTATGTTTTTTTGTATGTATTTTACGACATATCATCATCAATTGTATTTTAACAGTGGTAGAGCCAGGCGGCAGCTTTTGCTGTCGCACGGATGGGCCGGCTCGAACCGGGGTGGTACCACGACCTCACAGAATACCAGCGTGAAGTAGAGGTTTACCTCTGCGTTTCGCTTGGTGAGTGCAGGTGGCCGGAGGCCCTTTTTACTGGAAATGAGGTATTCCATCTTAGTCCTCACGGCTGACAACGCATCTGCATTTTGATTTGTAATAGAGGATAGATGTAGATGTCTATAGGCCGCAGCAACCACTTACCATCAGGTGGACTGTGTGCTCGTTTATCACCCTTATCGCATAAAAAAAAATTGTGATACGATTTTGATGATTCTTTTTCTAATAAATAGGTTATACTTCAAGGGTGGTCACCTATATATTTGGAGAAAAAATTCTACCTCTAAGAGCGACAAAATAGTAGATGATTTTTTTAATTGAACTATTTAGACAACAGTAAAATTGTGATGTTCCTGAATCCACACAAAAGGGTAAAAAAATATTTTTAACTAGAAGTAAAATTGAACTTCAAACAATTAAAAAGGATGAAATAACTTCACACTGAGGTTGGGGCTATAATTCTTTTTTAGAATATGTCTTAACTTGGATATGTTCATGCAAACGTACATTGTTTTGGTGTGTGATAACTGTGTAGCGCTTACTAATAGGAATGAAAACATCATTAGTCAGCTAAATATCATTTGTAATGTTTACACATACTATTTTTTTTATAATTTATAAAATATGGTATTTACCAATGAAATTACCGTTTTGTTGAACTGGCCACTTTGATTTGTTATAGCTACAAATTTTATGTTTAAGGCAAGTTATTAATTTGTTTTAGGGTTTGTTTGTTCTGCAATATATTTATATTTATAACAATAGGCTCTAATAAAATTCAAATTATTTTGGATTATGAATTTTGATGTGGTAACGATGCCTCTGAAACTAACAAAAGAGGTGTGCATTACAGATTCAATATTTTCCATTCAGGAAATTAACTACAACTAAGTCAACGTCTGCTGTTGATGTAAATGTCAAAACAACATTAGATCATTTGCAATAAATCAGTAAAATAAAGAATGCCTACATTCCTTGGGGGAGGCCTATGTTCAGCAGTGGACTTATGAAAGGCTTATAAAAATGATGACTGACGACTCATCACAAGATCTCTAAAGCTATACATCCGATTGAAATGAAATTTTGGTATAGTTACTCATTACGCAATGAATGGATCTCACTAAGAACGTATTTTATAATAGTCCCATCAAAAAAATATTTATAGGTTCTGCAATAAAATATTATTGTGCACCCAGCGAAGCGAGCATAGTCCACTATAATCTCTAGACTTTTAGACTCTAGACAGACTATTAGACTTAATATAATGTGAATACACGGTTGATAATAACCCCTGAGAATGAGGTCGCTTTCAAGCTGTTCCTAAAATAAACTTTGTCAATAGTTTGTACAACCTTTCATATTGTATAATTTACTTTTTTTTTAAAGTCCCGCTGGGTGTCTTGCTGGTTCTTTCTAGGAAAGAGGTTTTTTTCTGAACCAGTGGTAAAGAAAAAAACTATTTTCAATAAGAATTGGGCACATGTAATCTCATATCGAATTAAAAATTATTCTATTATGTTCTATTCTTCCAGTTAAGTTTAGATAACTTTTTGATATGAAACATTTCCATACAAGAGAAGCAGTAATGAATCATTTAAAGAGTTCTTAGGTTATCATTCAGCAAACTTTTAAAGCAACGGCATCAACAAACTACGCATAATATGACACAAATGTGCTAATTAAGTAGAAGGATAATAAATTAAGTAAACAAAAAAGGTTTATTTTAATTTTCATAATATTCACAAAACGGCAATTCCATAGACCTAATAGTATTAAAAAATATAAAGTAAAAAGGAAAGAGAATGTAAAAACTTAACAATTATATTAGTTTTGTTAATAATATTCCTAGATTTTTTTTTTATTTTGGTTAAAAGCCATCTGCTTTTGCTCAATGAATGACTATACTTGCCTTTTAGCAAGAAAAGAACTAACCATCTTATCACCAGCAATAATGACAAGTCTCAGATAGAGTTCGTTTAGGAACTTCACCACGCATGGGTGTGGAAAATTGTTCAAACTCATATTTTAAAATAAAAATTAATAAAACTTACACTGGTAACTCCTTTTCTGTTAAAGTACTTAATTCAGCCAGATTATATTGCTTCAGTGATTCATCATAAGCCCCACAAGCATAATTTAGCTTTCCAAGCAGTAGATGAGCGTCAAGAGCCACTCCAGCTTTCTTTCCTGCCTCATCCGTAGCCAAGGTTAAGTATCCACGGGCTTCAGACAGCTCCCGTTGGGCTCTTTCAATGTTCTCTTTGATTGGAGGCCATTCGTCTAAATATACTTCGAGTTTTCCCTCACCAATGAGGAAATGGGCAAGGCTTTCTATAAAAACACAAAATATGCTTATAAGGTATTTTACTGATAATTTAAAATTGGGAATATGACATGTGATTAGAGGAGTATGAGTAATATGAAGTCAACTTATTTTATATCAGATATTTTGTAGAAAAAAATTAATTAATTCAGTTAGTAGAAATAATTATAGTCAGTAATGATTCATTATATTCACAATTGAATACAATTTTTTGTCACAGACAAACATTAATTTATTACTTGTATTATAATCCATCTTAAATATACATTTATTAATTCTAAATTAAATATACAGTCTGGTTTAAAAATGGTATGAGTAACAAAATATATAAATATATAATGTTTGAAATAATGTGGTCTAGGTCAACTTTAACATTAGTATAATATACGGCAATACATCTTGTTACCACCAGACATAAATCGCCCACACTGACAATAGGAAGCAGCACAAAGGTGTAAGACATCTGGTACCACAATACCCTATCCCCCTGCCAAGTGCGGCAATAAAGGCCAACTCTCCCTACAACGGAGAATGTCCATGTACGGTAGTGGATTTTAATGGGGCAATAAAGAAGAAAAATATTGCATTTACATTTTTAAGTATTATTTACTTTGAATAAAACTATATTTACAGATTTTATCGCATTTAATTTACTTATTTTAATTCCTGACGTTTTGGGTTTTGAATATTAGTTTTTCAATTTTACTTATGCGGAATGAGCTTACTATAAGCTCATTCCGCATAAGTAAAATTGAAAAATTGAAGTAAATTGAAATTGGTCACGGGGGACTGAGTTGTTTGACGTCCTGCTGTCATAGTTAGCCCGGCTACCTTCAGTTTTTTAATATTAATTTTTTTTGGTTCGATTTACGCAGAATGAGCTTACAGTATCTTGAAGTCTTGCAATGGTATGCTTGGGTTTGAGTTTAATTTTATTAATTATAGGATCCCAAGCAGATGGCAGCACCCATCCATATTCTCTATTGAAATTAGGGTATTTTTTAATTTCAATAGCCTCGCGAATCATCCTTGGTAGGAATCGGTATTCTTCTGCGAGAATTTGTGGTCTATCAAATCTAATGTAATGGCGGGGACTATGTGTCGTACTGTCATAAGTGGTGTGTCTTTCCTAGTGTAGTGGTATTGGGAATAGTGGTGCTGGGATTAGTGGTGACGGTGATAGTGCACTCAATTGAGGGAGGGCGGGAGGTGCTCTTCAAACTAGGTAAGACACATCATTTTATTTTATCGGTCGTATGTATGCGAAATAATTTTTTGCCAACTTTAATATATATATATATATATATTTTTTATGTGGGTTTTATAAATCTTTTACATAGGTCTCTCTTACATAGAAAAAAATGCATGTTTCACAAACAATGATATAAAACAATTCATAGGAACATATTTAAATAAATTTTTACCTTAATGACAAATCATAGCATTATTTATTTATTATTTGCAAAGCATTGACAATTTGGCATTTTAAGCTTTTAATGCTTTCAAAAGTAAAGTTGTCAATACTTTACTAACAATAAAACATTGTAGTAAATACCTTATTCATAAAAAACACTAGATTACAAAATATGCCCTTGATGATAAGCAAAATGTAACTACTTATTGATAAAAACTTGATATTGAATTTAACGTAAAATGTTATTATATTTTCAGAAAGACCAGACATATATAACTGTCTTACCGTGCTGTGGAGACCTGGATTTCAGCTGTTGGGCTAAGTCCACTACCTTCTTCCAATTTGATTCTTCGCGACTCTTCTCTATCTCGGTTTCATAGCTGCGAACAGCATTTTTACTTCTCGATGTCATTTTAACATGAGGGCAATCTTGCCCAATCGTCACACCATTGATTTCTTTGATATCAATTCACTCGGACATTGCAAAACTCTCTCAAATTGCGAGAGAATCTCCAGCAATTGTGGCAATTGAAGGCCAAATTTGACAGATGATGTGATGACATTCCATCCAGTGTTGTCAGCATAGATTACTGTATTGTCAGCTTGGCTTGGCTGAAAGTTACGAGGTTACATGCTTGAAAAGTTACTTTTTTAAACTAAAAGTTTTGAAATTATAACTTTTGTTAGAGGTACGATGAAATATGACTTTTGCATATTATGATGGTTTTATGATCATTTTATATTAATTTTATTTTAATAAAGGCAGGATAATCGAAAGAAAGTTTATTATAGGAATTATTTTTTTCTAGATTTGGGCGGAGTTTTACGAGGAATTGGGAGAGGTGAGACGGGAAATCACTCCCTTAAGACTTCCCCTCCCTGCTTGGGGATGTATAGTTTTTGAACTATGATTTTTTTGTAGATTGCTTGGTTTAAATATTACTATTTGACACATTTCTTTTCTTAGGCACAAAAAATCAGGTCATGATTTTAATAAAACAACAATTTAAAAATTATTTTAATGTTAAATTTATCAAAAACATATACCGTACTCGTAAATCAAGTATAATATAAGCGATAATGAGTGAAGTATCCCGCTACACCTTCGCCCTCTTCACATATATTTGCGAAGGCGACTGACTGCAAAATTTTAATCCCGTACTTACAATTTTTTATGTTAAATTTTTAATTCCACGGAATATAAAAAACTTGTTTTTTTTATATTCGGTGTTTAATTCTTACATGCAAGTTACAAGTACCATTAAGGGTTGGTATGAAGTTACGGAAAATGTAACAAATATATCTATAGAGCAACAGTACTGATCATCTTCAATGGAAATAAGTTTTTTTTTGGAGTTTATGGCCTGGTATCTAGACCTTTAGGCCAAGTCTTAAGTATTTTTTTTTGGTTTATTATAATTTCCCCAAATGTATAATTATCCTTCATAGTTCACTGCTTCACAATATGTTGATGCGTCACATTGTGCAGCTCTTGGGAGATTTTGACGGCAACTTGAGCCAGCAGACAGCTGACAGTTGGCGATGGTATCTAAAGGCGCATATGTAGACAAACAGCTTATCTTAAGAATCCATCACCATCAGAGCACTTGTTTCACCGTTTCCACTAATAGTTCACATGCGTAGACAGTTAATACACAAAATCGCACCACTTTTACATATCAAAGTCCACTTCAAACCATTATTTAAACAATAACACAGGAGCAGCAAACCGACGCCGGTCACGTTCCCGCCAAAACTCCTGGAAATAAGTTATTTATAAAACGTGTTGCTATAAGTAAACAAATTATTTTACTTATAGCAACTCGTTATCATTTTTCAAAACAAAATGAAAACATTATAATTTTCATGAAATTCTTTTATCATTGTCTAGAGAAAGAAAAAAGCCAATTTGGTATGTATGTCACTTTTAAAAAAACTTATATAAACAGAAATAAAAATAATAACTTTTAGCATTTCATCATAGATGGAGCCAAAACATTTTACATTTAAAAATATTATCTATTAATAAATTAGAGAATATAATAATCATGTTAGAAATGTTCATAGTTCACAACTTTTTGCATAATATTATGTACTTAGTAGATATTTTTATTTTATAATTTTTTGGAAATAATATATTTTGGTTGTAATAGGTACCGCAAGTATTTTAGTAAGGACTAGTTATTTACTCATGTGGTACTGGTCACAGACTTCCTCTCGTTTTAAAAGACCACTAATAGCGATAACGATTTGGCGAGCCATTAGGATTAGAACGCCGCATAGATAAACTTTACGATACCTATTTATACGAGAGAACGCCACAATGCTCCAGTGCGTGATTGTCTTTCGTAACAAAGTATTAAGACCTGTGATGTTGGCGGACTAAGCATTTTCATGTCTTCTAAATATTTTTATTTCCCAGTTATGCAATTTCTCTCACAATATTTAAATAAGCACATAATATTACAATCTGGGGACACGGCAGTGCCCCCGCTAAGTCGAGCAAAAAAGCGGCACGGCCGTACCATCCTTTTCTCGAAGCAGTTCAGGCCATTTTCGAACCCCTATAACTTCGTTGTGGATAAAACTAGAAGCCTGAATTTTCAGTAACCAAGTAGGCCTTGTATAAACTCGGTATGTTTAAAATTTCATTAAATTTGAACCAGTAGTTTAAGAATTATAACTAGTCAAAATTTCTTAATTTTGTCACTCACTGACTGACCGATCATCAAAACTCTAAGGCACTTCTAGCAGACATAGACGCTTCAAGTTTGGAATACAATTATTGTTTAGTATATAAATCAAGGAAAAACTAAAATGTTTTACAATTTCGGTCCAGTTTTCGAGATACACCAACTGCATGAATAACTTTGTAATCCCATATAAATATATAGGATTACAAAGTTACATTTGCAGTGAATGAATCAGTGTACCTATATATGTATAATATAATAGAATAATAGGTGTAGATAGGTACTTAGATATAACTATCTACAAAAAGAAATGAGATGCCATCAAAAACATAACTTGTAAAAAAACCAAGACTCGCAACTCAATTCTACTACCGTAAAAAGTTGCAAGATCCATGTAATACCAAGTCGGTTAATTTATTCAGTCCCTACTTAAGGGTCCTTCTGTCTTGAGTTATTACGTAATTAGCTAACCTAACAACATCTTATAGTGACCACATCAATACTAAAAATCTTTTATATTTTAAATAAATAGCTTGACTTGGCCATCACATGAAAACACATGCATCTCAATGTATCTCTCAAGTAATACATAGTAACCGCTTTGCCTATAAGCTGCCACGGCAAGGCACTTTTTATTTATTAAAAGAAACATTAATTTCTAACGTTGCAAAATAAAAAGTTTTCATTTCATTTCATGCAGTTAAATTACGGTCAATTTAAATTTTAAATTTTGTTTTCATTTGTATTCCAAGCTTGCTTCTATATTACTAAGCTTTACTGCTCGTATTAATTAGGTCACCTCTCCTAGTTCGGAAACCAACCAAGAAGATTTGAGTAAGCTTTTCAGACTGTGTTCATATAATATAAGTAGGCCGTACCATCTCTTTGTCTGTTAATGTATTTGTCTGTTTGTCACAAACGTTCTTCTCAGAGACTTCATAATAATACGTTCATGTTTTATTTCTTAAATATTGTGTAAATTTATAATTTATTTATATTTATATGACGACCAGACGACAACTGTTCAGTGATGTCTCCGTGATCGCGAGGGTGAAAACTGGTAGCGATCACCGAATGGTTAGAGGCACACTGAACCTAAACGTTAAGTTGGAGAGGTCGCGTCTAATGAAGTAAACGCTCCATCCCCCTCGTGCTCTGTTCCAAAGTCCCAAAACCTTTCAGCTCGAGTTACAAAACCGTTTTCAGTGCCTAGAAGACTGCAATGAAGTGGACGATATGAATGACAAGCTTGTGGAAACTGTCCATGCGGTCGGAGCTGCAAGACCCGCCGCAGAAGAACACAAAAACTCTCCGATCATACTCTTAATCTCATGGCTGTTAGACGGGAGATGAAGCTACATTCTTCAACAGATTTGACAGCATACAGGCGACTGAACAGACAGATCTCCAAATGCATGCGGCGGCACTTACGCAACTTTAATACAGCTTGTATTGAAGAAGCGATCGAGCGGAACCAAGGCTCCAAAGTCTTTCCCAGAGATCTGTGTGCCAGAAAGAGCCAACTGTCAAAGCTGAAGACCGAATGTGGCAGAATCGTTTCCGGGACACCTGAGATTTTGAGTGAGATTGAGAGGTTCTATGGGCAGCTGTACACGTCATCGTTGGAGCCACACGCAAGTGTGAGTAACGATCCAAGAGCGAGTCTCATCCGACACTATTCCGAAGATATCCCGGACGTCAGTCTGAGCGAGATTAGAATGGCTCTCCAGCACCTTAAAAACGGCAAGGCCCCAGGCGAGGATGGAATTACAGCGGAGCTTCTGAAAGCGGGTGGAAAACCGGTACTTGAAGTCCTTCAGAAGCTCTTTAATTCCGTCCTCCATGGTGGCATTACACCGGAGGCGTGGAGCAGAAGTGCGGTGGTCTTGTTCTTCAAGAAAGGCGACAACGCTCTCTTGAAGAACTACAGACCGATTTCCCTTCTGAGCCGCGTCTACGTGCTGTTTTCGAGAGTCATTACGAATCGTCTCGCGCGCAGACTTGACGACTTCCAGCCTCCCGAACAAGCCGGTTTCCGAAAAGGCTTTAGCACCATAGACCACATACATACCCTTCGGCAAATTGTACAGAAGTCCGAGGAGTACAATTTGTCACTATGTCTGGCGTATGTGGACTATGAGAAAGCCTTTGATTCCGTCGAAATTTGGGCGGTGCTGCAGTCCCTTCAGCGATGCCAAGTTGACTGTCGGTATATCGAAGTGTTGAAGTGCTTGTACAGTAGGGCTACGATGGCTATCCGAGTACAGAACCAGAGTACGAAACCTATCCAATTGCAGAGAGGTGTAAGACAGGGTGACGTCATATCCCCGAAACTCTTTACCGCTGCATTGGAAGATGTTTTCAAGCTTCTGGACTGGAAAGGATACGGTATCAACATCAATGGCGAGTACATCACTCACCTTCGATTTGCCGACGATATAGTCCTTATGGCAGAATCGCTGGAGGACCTAAGCACTATGCTCAATGACCTCAATAGTGTTTCCCAACGGATAGGTCTTAAGATGAACATGGACAAAACAAAGATCATGTTTAATGTCCATGTCACACCTATGCCGGTAGTTGTTGGGAACACTAAGCTCGAAGTTGTTGACGAGTATGTTTACCTGGGACAAATAGTCCGACTAGGTAAGTCCAACTTCGACCGAGAGGTCAATCGACGGATTCAACTCGGTTGGGCAGCGTTCGGGAAATTACGGCA